GCCACGTAAACACGCGTCGGGTGCGCCTACGTATGAAAACGACGAAAGCGCTACACATGTTGGGTATCGCCGCGCACGCCTGAGTGAGAGCAATAATTCTAGGGCCAGTATTTTGGGGTATCTCTAAATTGACCTGTGGGGGCTTTTAAAGCGTCTTCTATGAACTTTTTGGGGTACTGGGGTTTTTCTCCGTTTTACGATGCACGCAATTTGTGACCTGGGCATGTTGGGTATCGTTTTACTTGTTGTAACCTCATCTTTTATATTTCATTAAAAAAATGGGTATTTTGTTGTGTTTTGGGGCATTTAATTAAATTTGTCACTAAATATTGGGGTTTAAAAAGGAGTTGCGCTAATATTGCGCAACATAAAAATTTGCAACTACCACCATTTTATTCTATAGGGTCTTGGCATTCAGAAAATATATAATGTTGGGGGGTTTTAAGTAATTATCAGGCCTAAACTTTGGAATATAACATGGGTACAAAAAAATGAAAAAAAGGCCTCGTTCATGAAGGGGTTAAAGGATGAGTGCACTTTAAAAGCAAAGGTCACATGCAGCGGGAGGATGAAGATTAGGGGGTTAAACAAGGTGCGCCTCTTCTTTTTGCTCCATGACCTACCCCAATCTCCGTCCCAGAACAATACATACCTCGATCCGGCGGTTCTGCCTTTATGTCATATCATTATGGAGAATAAACCTGGAGAACCGGGAACACCCGTATGCATGCAGTAGAATACAGTTCAGGAATTTGAGCTCGGGGCAGTGATGTATACCGTTGAATGGTGTTGTCTGTAGAATATCTGACCCGGCCTTGTCTCTGTCCCAGGGGTTGTTTTGGAGTTGCAGACAGAGCATCTTTAATGAGATGAAGAAGAAATTCTCGCAGGTATTCGGGTTGTCGGCTGTGCTCGGCGTGTGTGCTAGAGTTGAACGCAGCATGGCGTCCATATGGCACGGTGTGTGAACACTAACACTTCTTGATGTTCGGATTGTGCTGCACGAATATTGTTGGTTTGATGGTCGTATACGGTTCACAAATGTATTGCAAAGTCTTATCGTGGAAAGATAATTTCTGATTGGCTGCTGAGGTTTACTGCACTTTGCACACCGTCTTTGCTCCGCCTAATTGTGCAGCTCCAATAACAGTGAATTTGCATGTGCTCTATGGTCTGTCTAACCAGTTTTGTCTCTAATACAATGGTTGGCATTGGGTTTGTTTATTTAAAGTTATAAACTTGGATGAGGATTTCTTCACATGCGGATCCCCAGAATAACTTTTATAGAATTAAAGCGCGGTGCCATCCAAACAGCAGACTACGCAGGTGAAACGCACAGTGCGCACACAGTATTTAAAGGGCCATAAGAATTTTATAAGTAATGTATATAATTTTAACATAGACTAGTTATGCAACCCGTGTCTCTGCCCTGCCTCTTGCATGTTCCTTCAGACTTCGTGCCACTACCCTGGCTCTTGCTTGCTTCTGCAGATTCTGCCACTGCCACACCTCTTGTCTACTCCTACAGACTCTGTGCCACTGCCACACCTCTTGTCTACTCCTACAGACTCTGTGCCACTGCTACGCCTCTTGCTTGCTCCTACAAGCTTTGTGCCAATGCCCTGCCTCTGCCTGCAGACTCTTTGCCATTGCTCTGCCTCTTGCATGCTCCTGCAGACCCTGTGCCACTGCCCCACCTCCTGCCTGCTGCTACAGATTCATTGCCCCTGCCTTGTGCCTGCACTTGTAGACTCTGTGCCACTCCTCTTGTTTACTCTTACAGATTCTGTGCCACTGCTCTGCCTCTTGCCTGGTGCTACTGTCAATACATACCTCGATCCGGCGGTTCTGCCTTTATGTCATATCATTATGGAGAATAAACCTGGAGAACCGGGAACACCCGTATGCATGCAGTAGAATACAGTTCAGGAATTTGAGCTCGGGGCAGTGATGTATACCGTTGAATGGTGTTGTCTGTAGAATATCTGACCCGGCCTTGTCTCTGTCCCAGGGGTTGTTTTGGAGTTGCAGACAGAGCATCTTTAATGAGATGAAGAAGAAATTCTCGCAGGTATTCGGGTTGTCGGCTGTGCTCGGCGTGTGTGCTAGAGTTGAACGCAGCATGGCGTCCATATGGCACGGTGTGTGAACACTAACACTTCTTGATGTTCGGATTGTGCTGCACGAATATTGTTGGTTTGATGGTCGTATACGGTTCACAAATGTATTGCAAAGTCTTATCGTGGAAAGATAATTTCTGATTGGCTGCTGAGGTTTACTGCACTTTGCACACCGTCTTTGCTCCGCCTAATTGTGCAGCTCCAATAACAGTGAATTTGCATGTGCTCTATGGTCTGTCTAACCAGTTTTGTCTCTAATACAATGGTTGGCATTGGGTTTGTTTATTTAAAGTTATAAACTTGGATGAGGATTTCTTCACATGCGGATCCCCAGAATAACTTTTATAGAATTAAAGCGCGGTGCCATCCAAACAGCAGACTACGCAGGTGAAACGCACAGTGCGCACACAGTATTTAAAGGGCCATAAGAATTTTATAAGTAATGTATATAATTTTAACATAGACTAGTTATGCAACCCGTGTCTCTGCCCTGCCTCTTGCATGTTCCTTCAGACTTCGTGCCACTACCCTGGCTCTTGCTTGCTTCTGCAGATTCTGCCACTGCCACACCTCTTGTCTACTCCTACAGACTCTGTGCCACTGCCACACCTCTTGTCTACTCCTACAGACTCTGTGCCACTGCTACGCCTCTTGCTTGCTCCTACAAGCTTTGTGCCAATGCCCTGCCTCTGCCTGCAGACTCTTTGCCATTGCTCTGCCTCTTGCATGCTCCTGCAGACCCTGTGCCACTGCCCCACCTCCTGCCTGCTGCTACAGATTCATTGCCCCTGCCTTGTGCCTGCACTTGTAGACTCTGTGCCACTCCTCTTGTTTACTCTTACAGATTCTGTGCCACTGCTCTGCCTCTTGCCTGGTGCTACTGATTCTGTGCCACTGCTCTGCCTCTTGCCTGGTGCTACTGATGCTGTGCCATTGCTTTGCCTCTTGCCTGCTCCTGCAGACTCTGTGCCACTGCCACACCTCTTGCCTGCTCCTGTGGACTCTGCCACTGCCTTGCCTCTTGTATGCTGCTACAGATTCTGTGCCACTACCTTGTCTCTTGCTTGCTTCTGCAGACTCTGTGCCACTGCCACACCTCTTGCCTACGCCTACATACTCCGTGCCACTGCTCCACCTCTCGCTTGCTTCTGCAGACTCTGTGCCACTGCCTTGCCTACTGGCTGCTCCTACAGATTCTGCGCCTCTGCTCTGCTCTCACCACCACACTGGTGAGACCCCCCCTGACCCGTCCCCCCCCCTCTCCCCTGCCCTTTTTTTGCATCCCCTGTTTACTGCCTCTCATTAGCTCCATAGCAGCCACCCCACAAACCTTTTTTCAGCTGGTATGTGGCAATTCTTGATGAAGTTTCATAATCTAGGTAATTGTACAACTTGAAGATAATCTAGACAATTGAAGAGCTGAAAGCAAACTTGCTATAAACATAGTGACACTAAGGCTACTTCTAGATAGGGGGCACCATATGTTGCTACATGCTACCTATACTATATTGGCCAACCTCTTCCAAGCACCACCACGCCACTTAAAAATCCCATATTTCTAGGTATGGGGGGAAATGGTCTTAACAGGAAGTGATAATAAAATCTCTATAAAGTGGGGGGAATTCCCTCTTGGACAGTTGTCCCTGGCACAGGTGTCCCCAATAGAAGATTTATCCTCACTTCTTGTTTCGGCAACGACTATAAAATTTAGGTTTGCCATCACTTTGTTCTAGAGCTGCAGCTAACGATTATTTTCAAAATCGATTAGTTAGCCGATTATTAAGTTCGATTAATCGGATAAACAATAAAATAAAGTTTAAAAAATGACTCCAGTGATAGGACTACTAGTTTGTATTGAGGTTGTAGTCCATCACAGGAGCAAGCTTGGAGCGGTGGAAGTAAAAAAGAAAAAAAAGATAGTGTGGTGTGCAATATAGTGAAATGGAAAGTGTAAAATTATACAGCAATCAATGCGGAATGGCACCATAGCTGGTGGTATTTAGCATTGTACCACTTTATAATGTACTATTGCTGGGATTTGTTGTACTCCTCTATAGCTGGTGTTATTCCGCATTGCACTGTATAATGTATTATTGCTGGGACTTGTAGTCCTCTATACAGCGCAATGCAGAATATCACCAGCTATAGAGTACAACAAATCCCAGCAATACATTATACATACAGTGTATAATGCATTGCTGGTATTTGTATTCCTATGTATAATATACAGCACAATGTACCAGAGAAATACAAATCCCAGCAATACATTATAGAGCACCATGTGTGGGAAAGTGCAGGCTTACCTGAGCAGTCTTCCAGCAACTTGCTTCTGAGATTGGACCTGTCTACCAGCTGCTGTCATCCCCCCACCCCTGCTCCTCCTTACTACATCTCCCCGCGTGCCTTGCCGATCGTGGATGGGCAGGAAATGTGCGGCGTGTGGAGCGTGGATGCGAGCGGGTCTGGCAGCGGCGAGAGTGAGGTGGGGAGGAGGTGCGGCGCACAGCGTGTGGAGCTGTGAACAGGGCCAACTGATCGGAAGCCGATTAATCGATTATTGAAAAAGTTGACAACTTTTTCAATAATCGATTATGTCGATTAGTTGTTGCAGCCCTACTTTGTTCCACACACACAGAGAGTGAATCTCCCCAATAATATGATCACACTCCTCTAACGACACTGTGTATAGCCCTACACTTTGCAACATGTCTCAGGGCTACATCATTCATTTTTTCAGCTCCCCATCTTACTTTGCCAACGACATGTGTCACCCATGCCCATCATTCTTTTTGGCGTCTCCTAGTGCGTGTACCATTCATGAAAGCAGCATGGAGGCGAATAATGTAATGGTCCTGGGGTGGTGCTCAGTGTAAGATCTAAAGCCCAGTTGAGACTTAGGACCTCCTCGTGTGGTGGACATGGTCTGCTGACCTCTGCCTTTTACTCTTTCTTCCAGATCGAGAATGCTGCTGACGAGCCACGAGTTCTGTGCATAGTACAAGATACCACTAACTGCAAGACCATCAATGAACGCATCACTTTGAACCTCCCAGCCTCCACCTCTGTGCGCCAGCTCTTCCAGGATGTGGCTGGCAAAGTGGGCTACGTGAGCGCGACCTTCAGCTTGAAGTGGGGAAATGCAGCCGGCACGGGAGACATGGTGAGTTGTCAGACCATCTCTTCTATAATACTGATGGAAAAGCGGTGCTTTGGTTTTTGGTAGGGATGCACCGATACTAGTAACGGTGCCGATACCAAGTATTTGGGTGAGTACTCGTACTCGCCCAAATGCTCCGATACCTAGCACGAGTACTTCCTGTATCAGGAAGCCGGGCAGCGCGTCATTACACGCTGCCCGGTTTCCTGATTGGCCAGGAGACGGCTCCATGCTCTCTCGTCACTTGGAAGCAGGAAGCCGGGTAGCGTGCAATGACACGCTTCCCGATTGGTCAGGAAGCTAGAAAATCCGGGCGCTGTGTAATGACGCAGCGCCCGGCATTCTGATTGGCTGGGAAGCCGGCGTCATGCTCCCTCGTCATCTCATGAATGATAATATTAAGAAAGTGACCTTAAAGCATTAGTTTGTATTGCTTTAGAAAAAATGTGACCTGTCCCTTTAAGAAAAAGTATCGGTAATTGGTATCTGCGAGTACTTGATCAAAAGTATCGGTACTCGGTCTTAAAAAAGTGGTATTGGACATAATGATAAGCAGTTTGTGTGCCCATGTGGTGTATATTGCATTGATACTGTTATTGCAAACTTCAGATGTCCGTGGAGGCCTAGCAGGACAAGATAGACAATTTTTTGTTTGCCGTTCTGGCCAGCCATCTAATATTAAATGCCATGGACCATTAGATTTGGCATTTAATAATAAAATGATTTAACTGACTACATACACAGTAATTTAAACTGGGTATATGATGAACAATTAATTATAAACAAGATATACTTGTCCATACACTCTCCTTGAGCACCTCCAGGCTCCATTGCACTAATGAGGCCTCCGGGTACAGTGGAGCATGTGACTTCTTCCCCTCCCCCGTGTGACAGTGTTCAGGCATTGATGTCCTCCACCCAGGTAAGCTGTGACACCTTCATTTAGGGTGGACTCCTCCAGCTTGGGTTTGCGGATAGGTGAGTTGGGTTGCTGGAGATTGGCCTACTTGGAGGCACCGTCTTTCTGCTATGAATGGACAAGGTAACAGTGTCTCGTTAATGTGGAACAAGTAGAGATAAGGTTGCTAGATTCAAATCAGAAGATTGGTCAGATGGTAAGCCACAATGGCTCTGGCATGTCACTTTTGGGGTGTCTCTTTAAACAGGAGGCCGACATTTGAAGACTTGCTTGTATTAAGTTTAAGAGCATCAGTCTGAGAGTCCAAAGAGTTTTACTATTAATCTTGGTTCCAGAGCTGCAACAGTTAATCGATTTAGTCGATTAAAATCGACGATTGAAAACGTTGGCAACTTTTTCGATCGTCGATTCGTCGGCTATCGATTGATTTGCCTGTTCGGGGCTTATGGGGGTGCAGTGGTGGAACAGGTGTGCAGGGATGCAGTGGTGGAACAGGTGTGCAGGGATGCAGTGGTGGAACAGGTGTGCAGGGATGCAGTGGTGGAACAGGTGTGTAGGGATGCAGTGTGGAACAGGTGTGCGGGGTTGTGGTGGTGGAAAAGGGGTATGGAGGTGCAGTGTGGAACAGGTGTATGGGTGCAGTAGTGGAAGTCCGCGCCAAGCTTGCTCCGGTGATGGACTACAATCTCAATACAAACTAGTAGTCCATCACTGGAGCCTTTTTTTTTCTTTTTTATCCGATTAACCGATTAATCGAACTTAATAATCGGCCAACCAATCGATTATGAAAATAATCGTTAGCTACAGCCCTACTTGGTTCACAAGCTACAACATAGAACAGCTGAATCATGTTGGGGCTCAAAGTCTCCTTCAGCTGGGAGGTGGCAAGGGTTTGTGGGTAGGTGAGGTGACTTTCTGGAGAGTGATCTACCAGGAGACATTGTCATTAGGCCCAGAATGGACAAGGTGACAGTGACTCCTTAATGTGGAACAAGTAGAGATAAGGTGCTGGGTTCAAATTATCAGAAGATTGGTCACAAACCACGACATAAAACCATCGACACATGTTGACACAAAGACCTCCCCATTCTTGAGGACTTCAAATAATAAGTCAACCATGAGGAATTAAGAGTCAACTCAAGATTAATTATCTGCTGTATAGGGTATAACCAGAATCTGCTATCTGATGTATGGATGGCAGTGCGCTTGCTAGGACCATGCATGGAGGTTGGCTGCGGTGGCGCTCCATAGGACCCTGCAAGATAACCAAGCCACCCTAAAACCAGAAAATTGGTGCAGCTATCTTGGGCCAGGCTGATTTGGGAACAAAGACAACCTTCAAAGAATAAGAAGCAGCAGACAAGGTGAGTGCGGAGGTCTGCAGCTGTATTTTGTGATACGATTTTAGGGTTTAGTTACACTTTAATTGTGTTGTGTACTTTGTTCTATAGAGTGTTGTCTCTGGGCAAAATGGTAACAGATGGTTTAACATTTTCTCAAGTCCAGTTGCTATCGTCTTTTTCAGACTGAGCTGGATCCCAGCCCGGATCAGTCTTTACTGGATGCCGGCTTTGAGGCGGGCAAGAAGAATTTCCTCCATGTAACGGATAAGAACGGGGAGCAGCCGCAGCTAACATCGGTAAGATCCCATCTGCCTCTCTTACCCCAAATCTGCACATCAGAGGTTTTATGTAGGGTATAAGGACCTTCAGCTGTCCTAACAACAACATAAAGCATTACTCCAGGCAAATGGCTATAGACACAATTGAAATGCATAGAGTATATGGGAGCATATCTAGAGAGATGGAGGGTTTAATAAGACTTTAACCTCTAATCTGATTTAGGATGAATCGGGCACAGCGGACAGCAGCGGTGTTGATGACAGCGCACAGGAGAAGTTCATCGGACCTCTTCCCAGGGACGGCTCTGTGGGCTGCACGAGCGACTATGTCAGTCAGAACTACTCCTATTCATCACTGCTCAACAAATCAGACACTGGTACGTGTCCTCGCTGTGCCGAGAGCCCATGGCGCCCCACTCCAGAGGGAGGGGGACATTTTTGTCCTGGTCTTGTCATTTTTTACAGTTTTATATCTCTCTCCTTGCAGGTTACGTGGGCTTAGTAAACCAGGCCATGACCTGTTACCTGAACAGCCTGTTGCAGACACTGTATATGACCCCGGAATTCCGCAATGCACTCTACAAGTTAGTATTGTGCTAATTGTTCCTTATAGTGGTGGCAGGTGAGCCATGTGGCTAATTTGTCCGAGGTCCTCGAAGTAACATTTTATGCATCCTGTGGGTGCCTAGTCAGTGTGGTTACTATTTTCCGTCCTGAACATGGGAACATTCCAGTATGTTTTTATACTTTTACAGTGTAGTTTTCTGCAGGCAGCCTGTAGTGGGTGGGTAGTATTTATGCTCAGCTTCAAGCACTACATCTTGGTCATGTCTCCTCCTATAGCCTTTAACTGGCAAGTAAAGGAAAAGCGGCACACCGATGAGGTCATCAGTTTACTCTCCTCTCCTGTTAGTATGTTATGCACTGTACAAAGTGATAGTCATGATGGCCTCAGCCTGATCCCCCCCCCCCACAGTCCAAATGATGCTGTGCATTACAGGAGTCTTATCAGGACAGATCAAGGTGTTTATGCCAGCCTCTAAAATACACTTAGATTTTTTTGAGCATCTTAATCTGCTTGGTATTTAGATCTAAACTGTTATTCCATCAGGTGGGAGTTTGAAGATCCAGAAGAGGACCCTGTAAACAGCATCCCCTACCAGCTGCAGAGGCTTTTCGTCCTATTACAGACCAGTAAAAAAAGGGCGATAGAAACAACAGACGTGACGCGGAGTTTCGGCTGGGACAGCAGTGAAGGTAAAACCCTGCTTAAGCATTCAGTGTTAGAGGATCGTATGCCCTTAGTGTGATATAAGCCCTGATTTCTTGTTATGTTTGGCAGCCTGGCAGCAGCATGATGTGCAGGAGCTCTGTAGGGTCATGTTTGATGCTCTGGAGCAGAAGTGGAAGCAGACGGAGCAGGTAATCAGAAATGATATGTCCTTTTTGTAAAGGTCATTTCTTACCATTTAGCAATATGTTCTTGGTTTTCTACCCAGATATATTCACCCAGTGGTAAATCCCAACTTCATCTATTCATCATAATAACTTGTTTTCATTTTGTACGACCCCCCAGTTGTAACATCCCCTATGTAGTTCCTAAGCATTGAGTGGCAGTGTAATTACATTTCTGCTCTCTGTAGTGGGAGGATCCTGGAGTCTCTGTCTGAGTTGCTTTATTGATGCATCAAACAGCCAATGCATTTCAGCGCTGAAACCCTCTACCTTCATCAAGGCTTGAATATTACATAAGGTTAAAGGAGAACTATGAGGCGAGTGCTTTTCACTCACCTCATAGTTCTAGCCGACCGGTGACAATGAGACTGTCACAGGTCGGCTCAGTAGATCGGGAGGTGAGCGAACACATACCGGTGTCCGCTCACTTCTCGATCCTGTCACGGCTCTCTGCCGTGACGGGAGGGGCTGGATTCCCCGCTCCGATCCTCCAGCGCTGACTGGCGGAACGGACGGGGGAGGGGGCGGGTACAGCTGGCTCTGCCTCTAGATAGGCTGAGAAAGCTGTCACTCACGCAGCTGGGCGGATCTCGACATCGATGTCGGGATCCGCTCCGGCTGCGGCGTCTCAGTATACCGTGAGCTGTAGCTCGCGGTATACTGAGCTTAGGGTGACGGGAGGACGCTAGTTTGTGTCCTCCCGTTACCCTAAGGAGAACTATGGGGAAAAGCCCTGACCCCGTAGTTCTCCTTTTTAAAAGAGGCAGAATCACCAGGATATGTCAATGGAACAGTAATGTATGAAACTTCTCAAGAATTAATGAGACGGCATGACCTGTCATCACACTTTATTAACATAGCCTGGCATTTCTGCCTCTTGGAGCCCTTTAACCACATGCAGTATCCAAGCCCTGGTGAAGTTGAGTGTTTTCAGCCTTTGCAACACAACAGCTGTTTTATGTAATCATTTGATGCATCATTAAATCTATTTGGACTCTTTCACCATTTACACTAGTGCCCCTATCGTGTTTTTTAGATTTTTATTTTGGTCTCTGTACCCGCTGGGAGATTTCCCACCGCTTCCGGTTTTTGCTTTTTTGACCACTTTCCGCCGGGACAGGAATTGAGGAGGAATCTCCGAAACGGGGAGCACAGGCAGCATTAGGACCCTGACAAGAGGGTCTAGCCCTTCCCCGGTCTATCCAAAGCAACACCTTTTAGCTTTTAAACTGTTTAACTTCAAGCTGATACAACTTAATGTTTCTTTTTATTGGCAGGCTGACCTCATCAATCAGCTGTATCAGGGCAAGCTGAAGGATTATGTCCGATGCTTGGAGTGCAGTTACGAGAGCTGGCGGATTGACACGTTTTTGGACATCCCTCTTGTCATCAGGCCGTATGGCTCCAGCACAGCGTTTGGAAGTGTGGTGCGTACCTGTGCTGTGTGGTCATACCAAGCATGTTTTGGGAGGTTTTGTGATCAATCCTGTTTTTTAAAGGTTTGCCTTACAGAAGTTAACTCATCAGCCTCAACCATATCATTTACTGTGTTGCCATTAATGGCCCCAAACCTGTCCCAATCAATGGCTGATGTGCTAGTGGGGTCCCTATTTAAGGGTAGGAGAGACATAGTAAACTGCTCGTTATGTTTGAATCTGTTGGGTGAGTAGTGTGAGAACAGTGGCGGCTATGTTAAGGAGATGAGAAGGGGGGAAGTTGTTCTGTAGTCATGTCCTAGGGTGACAACACTGCTTCTCTGTAGATGCAATACAGTGAGAGTTCCCTAGGACAGGAAGTGTGTTTTACTGGTGGGATCCCTTCCCCTAGTAACCTCTCTTGGGCCTGGCATGTCATTGCTGGGGGAATGAGCAAAGCATTGAGGTAGGATGAGAAGCCTGGCAGCTCATCAGGAGGGGAATAGTAAGGTAGTGTAGGGAATGGAAGTACTGCCCTATTTAGGTGAACCTCTGCTTTACCCATGGAGCACAAAGCATCAGATTCACTTTAATTTAGCTCTTATAGTAGCTTATACTCGCTTTTCTTTCACTCCCTGCCACTCTGTTCAGCCATCAGGAGCCAGGCCATGACCTTTGTAAGCTACAAACTGCTGAGGTCCTAGCTTATACAGCACTATTAACTTCACTGTGCCAGTGCTGATTGGCCCAGCACTGTCACATGCTCCTTCATACCCTCAGGTATCCTTTGTGCTCCAGGCACTAAATTGGGCAGCAGGGGATCGTATTTTCCTTCCCTAAGCTTGCCATACACTGTACGAATTTTGTCCAGTTCTTGATGAACCGGACATAATTCGTTCAGCGGGTCATCATAATTCAGTGGGTGGCCATCCTTGTTGCCATCCTTCTGTCTGGAATTCTTTGATCAGAAAATTCAAGGAGCCAGTCGGGGAAATATTGGGTGAACAGCCATGGCAGCGCATTAGCGGCCATCGCTGTTGAGGTATTCTGAAAGCGGCACACTCGCCACCGTCAGAATACAACAGGCCAGCGGGTAATTTGTCCATCCACACTGTTTAGCCTGGATAGTGGAATCTGTTTTTTTCATTCAGCCTGCAGGTATATAATATAACCGTGTATGACCAGCTTTACTTTTACCCAAATGCTCAGACTGTTGGAGTAACCATCTGTATCTTTATTAATTAGTATTAATAAGTATTCTGTAAGTACATAGTATATCTGCCAGATATGTAAACAAACGTTTTAAGGTGGACTGACCCTTGAACAGTCAGTCATTTTTCCAGTGTATAGTTATTATTGGCATGCATACATATTTCCTGCCTAATAAGACAACTGTAGCCATTGTGTGATATACATCTGTTAGTCTTTAGCCATTTCTATAAGCACCATTCTTGTTGGTTCTGCCAGGAAGAAGCTCTCCATGCATTCATCCAGCCGGAGACTCTTGACGGTCCCAACCAGTACTTCTGTGAGCGCTGTAAGAAGAAGTGCGATGCCAGGAAGGTAAGGGGAGCGTGTGTGGGGGGGACTGTTGGCTTATATTTGTGGTCATTTGCTTCTTTCTCGTGTCTGTCCCTTGGGAGGTCTGACCTGAGATCTGCTTCTCCAGGGCCTGCGCTTCCTGCACTTCCCATATCTGCTAACACTGCAGCTGAAGAGGTTTGACTTTGATTACACCAGCATGCACCGAATCAAGCTGAACGATCGGATGACCTTCCCCGAGGAGCTGGACATGAGCCCTTTCATTGATGTTGAAGACGAGGTAATCAAATAGCTGTGCGTTGTTGTGGGGGGAGTTCGGTGGCAGGAAAGATGTTTGTATAGTAGCTCCTACTGATGCAGCTTTGCCTGCCAATTGTAGGATCCTCTGATACTCGGTGGCACAGTGGCTTAGTGTTTAGCACTTCTGCCATGCAGGACTGGGAATCCTCGGTTTGACCAGGACACCATCTGCAAGGAGTTTGTATGCTCTCCCTGTGTTGTCTGGGTTTCCTCAGTGTACTCCAATGTCCTCCCACACTCCAAAAACATGCCGGTAGGTTAATTGGTTCTTTTCTAAATTGGCCCTCGTGCATGTATGGGTATAAGACAAAAGGGTTAAAGAAAGTAATAGAAAAAAGGACCGCTTGGTCTTTCTACCATCATTTTTCTTCTATGCCTCTTTATGCAGTGGGGTTTTATAAGTAATGCTCACTTGCAAAGTGTCAAACTAGAAAAAATTTATTCCTGGTTTAAAAATGGTGAGACTCATAAGATGGATAAACTGTAGTTGAAGAAAAATGTATAAATATACTAAAATGTTATCCATCTCCCTAGAGGCAGGGCTTATACCCAGAGCTCTGCTGCATCCTCCAATGAACATTTTAGAGAAACCTGTTTTTCTGTATAAGTCACATTGTGAAGGGACGTCCTTCACCCAGCGTTTTTTGTGTGGAACGGTCTGGTGTCATGCAGTCGTCTTCTTTCAAGTAACCCCCCCCCTGCTTTGTTTCCTCTCTGTAAGAAGTCTCCTCAGACTGAGAGCTGCACGGACAGCGGTGCCGAGAACGAAGGAAGCTGTCACAGTGACCAGATGAGCAATGACTTCTGCACGGATGATGCCCTGGACGAGGGAATTTGTCTAGAGAGTAACAACAGTGTGGAAAAGCTGAACAAGTCCTCGGAGAAGGTAAACCTCAGTTTTGTATTGACTTTCTCTGGGTGTGTTACGTTGGCTCTTATTTAACCACTTGAAGACCGCGGTGTTTCACCCCCTTCCTGGCCAGGCCATTTTTTCAGTGTTCAGCGCTGCGGTACTTTGGCTGACGTTTATTCCGTCATGCAACGCTGTACTGAAATTAATTTTATTCCTTTTTTTTTTTTAGGACAGATAGAGCTTTCTTTTGGTGGTATTTATTCAACCGCTGGGGTTTTTTATTTTTTACTATATAACAAAAAAAAGTACCCTAAATTTTGTAAAAAAAACATGTTTCCCTATAAAATGTTATGAAACATTTATTTTCACCCCAATTTTTTGGTATACTATAAAAGACGGGGTCACGTCGGGTAAAAAGACACTAAATATGTCAACCTTTAAATTTCGCCCGCCCGCGAAATCGCAGAAAACGAACGCAACCAAAATTGGCCATAGGCGACACTTTAAACGTTTTTGCCGCTCATCAGGTTAGTGTTATCAGTGATTGATGGCCCTAAAATTATTGCTCTCACTGCGACGTTCGCGGCGATATGTAACATGTGCTGCATAGTAGGCGCAATCGTCGTTTTCGTACATAGGCGCACCCGACGCATGTTTGCATGTGTATGTGGGGGGGCGGGGGACTTTAAAACATTTTTTATGTAATTTTTTTTTAATTATTATTTGTGAATATTTTTTTTAGCTTCTTTATTTTTTTTAATGCTGTAATTTTTTTTTTTTGACTACTTTATTGCTATAACATAAGGGATTAATAAATCCCCTATGTAATAGCCAGTTCACCAAACAGGTCCTCTTTATGGAGACATCAGGGGTCTCCAAGACCTCTGATGTCACCTAGGGACCCCCACAGAAGCTGATGAAGCAGAGATCTGCTTCATCAGCTTCTCTCCGGTGTTCTGCACCGGAGAGTGACACTGAATGCAGGAAGTGATGTAATATACCCTGCATTCGGGGACAGGAAGAGAGATCAAAGGGAAATCGAGTAATGATCTCCCTTTGATCTGCTGTTAGAGCGTTGCCGTGCCGGTCCCAGCCGCACCGGCCACATCGGATCACGGACCGGCAGCGGCGACGAGGAGACGGCGGGACATAGGTACGGGGGGGTGTGGGGGTGGCGAGGCCTCAAGAGACGCCTGATCGCTTGTATGTAAACAGCCATCGCTGACTGTTTACATGCTCACAGTTTCCCCTCTCGTGTGCGCGCTGAGTGCCGCACATGAGAGGGGGGAGGGGCAGGACGTCTTAAGACGCCCTCCCGCTCCTAGCAGACGTTCGTCCGGCCGTTCACAAACGGCCATAGACGGAAGGTGGTTAACACATTTTTACTTGTGAATTGTGCGCCCTGTAATACATTTATAAACTTTTACAAATTTGCCTTTCTAGAACTGCGTGTATGAACTTTTTTCCGTGATGGTACATTCAGGCAGTGCGGCGGGTGGGCACTACTACGCCTGCATCAGGTCCTTCTCCGACGACCAGTGGTATAGTTTCAACGACCAGCATGTCTGCCGAGTGAGTTACTGGAACCTTCTGTTGTCTTCTACATTGCACAAGTCATTAACATTAGATAAACAACATGCCAGTGAGCAGTAGCAATCCATAAACCTCAGATCAGGTCCAATGTCTTCACCTTCAGACCTCAGATCTGCCCCAATTCCTGCACCTTCAGACCCCAGATCTGCCCCAATTCCTGCACCTTCAGACCCCAGATCTGCCCCAATTCCTGCACCTTCAGACCCCAGATCTGCCCCAATTCCTGCACCTTCAGACCTCAGATCTGCCCCAATTCTTGCACCTTCAAACCTCAGATCACCCCAATACCTGCACCTTCAGACCCCAGATCTGCCCCAATTCCTGCACCTTCAGACCTCAGATCTGCCCCAATTCTTGCACCTTTAGACCTCAGATCTGCCCCAATTCCTGCACCTTCAGACCTCAGTTCTGCCCCAATTCCTGTACCTTCAGACCTCAGATCTGCCCCAATTCCTGCACCTTCAGACCTCAGATCTGCCCCAATTCCTGCACCTTCAGACCTCAGATCTGCCCCAATTCCTGTACCTTCAGACCCCAGATCTGCCCCAATTTCTCCACCTTCAGACCCCAGATCTGCCCCAATTCCTGCACCTTCAGACCCCAGATCTGCCCCAATTCCTGCACCTTCAGACCTCAGATCTGCCCCAATTCCTGCACCTTCAGACCCCAGATCTGCCCCAATTCCTGCACCTTCAGACCTCAGATCTGCCCCAATTCTTGCACCTTCAGACCTCAGATCTGCCCCAATTCTTGCACCTGCAGACCCCACATCTGCCCCAATTCTTGCACCTGCAGACCCCACGTCCGCCTCAATTCCTGCTCAATCAGAAATGCAGGAGTTTTGCATGCAGACCTGCTGCAGCTGGCAATTCCACTAAGAGGATGAAGAGTGTAGGAAGACGGGTTACAACGACATCTGCAGCCACAGGCGGGCCTGTACTGAGAGGAGGCCCAGCAAGTGAAAATCAGTGACATCAGGCGGGCCTCTCTGAAACATCATAGAGGTGGGTGGGTCGTAGGCACAGAGGGCCAGGCCAGGTTTTGTAATTGGCAGTCTAGTGAGCTGTCAATTCCAGCCTATGGTAGGGAGCAGTGGCCAACCAGAGTATCATTAGAGGCCACCACCTAAAATTGGTGGAAAAAAAATTCCAGCACAAGGGGCGAAGGGGGTTCTTCACAGTAAGATCAGTTAGGGTCTGGAACTCACTGCCACAGACAGTGATTTCAGCAAAGAATGTGGAATTGTTCAAGAAACTTTTGGACGATTTCTTAAGGGACCGTAATATACAGGGGTACAGGTAATATACAGGGGTACGGGTACTCCTAGAATGAGATCCTAATAGGTTGGACTTGATGGACTAATGTCTTTATTCAACCTCAAATACTATGTAACTGGTCCTTTGGCAGGCCAGTCTGAAGTGATTATCATCTGAGCGTTCCTGAAAATAACAGTTGCCTTAGGTACCATATCCCTGCTTTAAATCTTGCCCTGGAACTAAAGAATCATATATGCTTGTGGAAATATGGGGGGGGGGGGTGGCTACTTTTGTTAGCCATAGAAAGATTGAAAGAACTAAAACTATGCAATGAAAAATAAGTAAGCACGCCTCTCAATTGGGAGTTGAGACCTTCTAATGCTCTTTGACTAAAAATCCCCATTTTACCCCTAGATGTATACATTTTGCTATTGTTGCGCTGTTATACTTTTTCATGTATCTTTCCTGCAGTGATAAAGTTTGTGTTTTGGTAATACAGATAACTCAAGAGGACATTAAGAAAACCTATGGAGGGTCTACAGGAAGCCGAGGATACTACTCCAGTGCCTTCGCCAGGTGCGTACAGCTCTTTCTGCTGATAAAATGTATTCACATCCAAGAAGTGTTTCACTGGGAAAGTGTCATAAACTGCTGCTGTATCACCGTTCTTTCCACAGTTCTACCAACGCGTACATGCTCATGTATCGGCTGAAGAATCCTACCAAAAATGCAAGTAAGTTGGGGTCAGTGTCATGTGTGTTACCTTGTGGGAAACCATCACGTTACTTAGCATGTTTGAGGGTAAACCTTCAGATGTAGAAGGTTTTGCAGGAACTTTGTGCTGACAGCAGGCGCAGACTCATTGCTCTGTTGCACACAGCAAGGAGATGCATGTGACGCTTAAGGAGAACTATGAGGTGAGTGCTTTTCACTCACCTCATAGTTCCAGCCGACCTGTGACAATGAGACTGTCACAGGTCGGCTCAGTAGATCGGGAGGTGAGCGAACACATACCGGCGTTCGCTCACCTCTCGATCCTGTCACGGCTCTCTGCCATGACAGGGGAGGGGCTGGATTCCCCCCTCCCCGCTCCGCCAGCACTGACTGGCGGATCGAACGGGGGAGGGTACAGCTGGCTCTGCCTCTAGATAGGCAGAGCCAGCTGTCACTCACGCAGCTGGGCGGATGTCGACATCGATGTCGGGATCCGCTCCGGCTGCGGCGTCTCAGTATATCGCGAGCTGTAGCTCGCGGTATACTGAGCTTAGGGTAACGGGAGGACGCTAGTTTGTGTCCTCCCGTTACCCTAAGGAGAACTATGGGGAAAAGCCCTGACCCCATAGTTCTCCTTTAGCTTTGTGTACAAAGAAAACAGGTAGTAAAATGTGACACCTGTTGAAGAGGTCAGTCCGCCCAAAAGCAATTTTTTTTCCCAGTGTTCATTGGAGAGGGCACAGCAGACCTCTGGGGTAAAGGCCTTTGGGAGGTTGGACACTAAGCTGGAGCAGAAAGGAATAGCTCCGCAGGGTCTGGGTCACCATGAAGACTGGAGTTGAGGCCTCTTTGACTTCTTTGCTGGCTCTCTTCCTGAGCACTGTGAGCTGTCCCCTCGTTAATATAAAATAGTGTGACGTTCGGGGATATTAGCACATATGGTGAGCGCTTAAGAAAGCAGTCTACTCGCAATATCTTCGGTTTAAGGGCTCGGTAGCCCACTTTTATTCAACACAAAGTTCATAAATCCATCTTGGATACCCACGCAGGGTTTGTCAGCATAATTCATGCAAGGCTTTACAGCAACACAAGAATAGCCTCCTGGCTTCCACTTTAAACATTGGCACTTCTGACCCACTGGTCCTCTTTGGAGTGCTGTCCCACACTTGTACTGGTGGCCCCTCAGACTCCCGGCTCTCCTAGCCTCACCAGTTCTCTCCCAGCCTCCCTGGCTGTCTTAGTGTGCCTCCAGCACACTCACCACCTGACTCCACTTTAGATTCTGGGGAAGTCCTCCTGACTCCTGAACACCGTCCGTTCCTATCCCAGTAGGAGCTCGCCTGACTCCTCTCTGACTTCTGGGGGCGTTCAGCAACGCGGTCTGTTCCACTTTCCCAGCAGGAGCTAATTCCCCTAGCCAGCATCCTTTTCTTAATGGCTGTGCACACCTGTGCAATTATCGAGTGCTGGCCAGTGCTAAAGCCTGGACCCAGGACTAGGGATCTCATCTTTCCTCCAGAATCACCTTGAAACCTCCCAGTTCCAGGATCCCAAGCAGAATCCAGACAATCCCTTGCTTCCTGAAACGTCTCGGCCCATCTGGCTGAGAGTCCCAGGTTATCATCACATCCAATTCTACAGTGGGATTGCCACACAATACCACAATAGGTTAAAATAAGTTCATGAGGACAAGTGGGAAACCCTCTCAATGTCTGCTGCAGACCTGGGACCCCACTGCTCTTCGATGGGGCTTGAACACTTGCATGTTTGAGACTTAAGTCTCTTTTTTGTAATATGGAGATTAAAGCGTAAATGACCAAAATCCACGAGTGGCTACTAACTAAATTTGTGTTAAAAGAGGACCTGAGCTCTGGAATCTGTGCCAAAAAAAATCAGGCAGAAGATAATGGACCAGTATTGTCTGTGATCTTCCTACAGCTGAACTCTTCCCCATTACTGACTTAACATGCCTTGCTCTGTACTGTCTCTGTGTGGCGGGGGGCCATCTTGTTGGAAGCAGGGCTTTGCTTCCTCTTGCCAGAGCCTCTAGCAAGGAGAACAGTAAGCAGCACAGCATTGACCTCCCCAAATCTATTGAGACTAGATGTGTATTGGCTCCTTTTTAAAAATAAAATGGGTTATAATATGTGTTACATGGAAATGTAAGCCTTACACAACAGCTGCTTTAAACCTGGGACCCCAGGATTCTGCCCGGTAGAATACCTAGACAATCTAAGTATAGAGAAGCGAGTGACTCACTTTGTTCCAGAGTTGGGTCAAGCAACAAAAACACATATAGCTCTGTGTAAGCTATGACCCCAAGAACTCTTATTATGCAAAGGACTTTCCATTGTGTCATGGTGGAGGAATGAAAAGGAGGTAGGTATATGCCTTTTTGTGGAGGTGTACATTAAGGGCCTGTTCACATGATATCGGGTCCTGATCAGGTGCGGATCTGCAGACGCGGTGCTACTGATGCAGTGCATTTTTGACGCGTTTTGTGTTTCCGGTCCGTTTCCTGACCGGACAAAATGTGATATGCAGTATTTTTTTCTGTCGTAACCTAAACGAACTGCGCACGTGAGAACTGTAGCCCATAAAACACATAGGGATACATTGGGATGCATTTTGAGTGCAGGAGCGTACAGATCAGGTCAGCACAGAAAACGGACGTTGTGTGAACAGGCCCTTAAAGGAGAACTATGAGGTGAGTGAAAATCAATCATCCTCATAGTTCGAGCCGACGCGTGACAATGAAACTGACACAGGTCGGCTCAATAGATCGGGAAGTGAGCGAACGCATACCGTCGCTTGCTCACTTCTCGATCATCGCCCTGCAGAGAGCGTTGACTGTCAGTCACCTCTCCCCGCAGAGATTCCCCCCTCCCCGATTCTCCAGCGCTTACTGGAGGGAGGGGGCGGGTACAGCTGGCTCTGTCTCTGGATAGGCAGTGCAAGCTGTCAATCACGGAGCTGGGTGGATCTTGACAGCATTTTCGCGATCCATCCTGGCTGCGGCGGTCTCAGTATACCGCGAGCTATTGCTCACAATATACTGAGCTTTGGGTCATGGGAGGAGGTTAGTATATGTCCTCCCGTGACCCTTAAGAGAACTATGGGGAAAAACCACTTACCCCATATTTCTCTTTTAAAGTGAACCTGTTGCATAGCCCTGTATGGACATAGCACAGACTCCCTTTAATTTCTTCTTTGTTCACATATGTGTACCAAGCCTTCTAGAGCTTCTCAGGTGCCATTCCACCCACGGTGCATGAATAGAGGAGACGAATGATGTTACATCTCATGTTTGTGATGCTTTCCAGAATTCTTGGAGGTGAGCGAATTCCCGGAGCACATCAAGCGTTTGATGCAGAGAGAAAAGGAGCAGGAAGAGGAGGAGAAGCGCCAGCGAGAGATCGAGCGCAATACTTGTAAAGTACGGCCCTGTCTCTGTTCTTCTCCCCCTGATTATCACAGGCCTGTGGTCTCCATTCCTTGTAACGGTCCCTGTTGTGTTTACAGCTGAAGCTCTTCTGCATGCATCCTGTCAAACAGATCCGGATGGAGAACAAGCTGGAGGTTCACAAGGATAAGACCTTGAAAGAGGCCGTGGAGATTGCATGGAAGGTACTGCATGCTGAGCAATTTCAGTTGAAGCTCCAGTTTAATGGAGGGGAACAAATTGGGTTTTTTTGGGAGAATAGTGATGCTGTTTTTCATTGACTGCTTATACTGTAATTCTAGAATTGGCAGCAGGTTGTCTTTTCCTCTATACTCAGTTCTATGATGTCTCCTCCAGTGTTTATTACACCTCTAGTGACGGATGGATGTGGGTGTTTGAGTTTGCTTCGCGTACATCATTGATCACTGTTGGACATTGTGTATTTCAGATCATGGACTTGGAAGGGGTCGTCCCTCTGGATTGCTGTCGGCTAGTGAAATACGATGAATTCCACGATTACCTGGAACGATCGTATGAAGACGAAGAAGATCGGCCGATGGGTCTGCTGCTGGGTGGGGTCAAGTCCTCCTACATGTTCGATCTGCTACTGGAAACTAAACGGCCAGACCAGGTGTTCCAGTCCTACAAACCTGGCGGTAAGTGGCCAGCCCCTTGTCTGTCAGGGCCGAAACAAAGCCAGATTCACGGAAATATATTATGTTGATGTTGGTAATACCTTGTTGTACCTGTCTGCTTAGATCTAGGACACATGGGCATTGTGTGTGTGTGTGTGTGTGTGTGTGTGTGTGTGTGTGTGTGTGTGTGTGTGTGTCCATTACAGCGTATTTGATGGCAAAATATTTTGAAAGCCTTTAAGGCCTCATTCACAAGGGGCGTGTTTCTCCATACAGTGTGAATTGATGGTGGTTTATGTACACAGAGCTGCAGAAGCTGTGCGCCTTCACATGGTGCTTTCCATAGCTCCGAGGCTTGACAGCGGCACACAGATGGTGTACGGCAGTGGTTCTCAACCTGTGGGTCGCGACCCAAAAGTGGGTCGCAACCCACAGTTGAGTGGGTCCCCATGTGCCTTGTGCTGCTCTAGGTAAGAGGCTCCTCAGCCTCCTCCTAGCGCAGCAGTGTCAGTTCTCTTAGATGGCGCTGCAGCATCAGCGACCGGAGAGGATCAGAGAGAGGGGAGCGGGCAGGAGTGAGGGGAGGGAAGTGCTTGGGCACCACAGACAGTCCCACTAGCCACCCGAGAGCCCGCATAGGCTCCCGAGAGCCCACACAGATACTAGAATTGGTGCATCCCTAAATTTTACGGTTGGGGGTCACCACAACATGGCAAATGTTACCAAGGGGTCCCAGCCCTAGAAAGGTTGAGAACCACTGGTGTACGGCCTCACATGTTCACAGGGCGAATCCAGGTCCGTAGGCTGACTTGTGTGCGGCTATGGAAGCAACATGTTGAAGTTGCATGCGAGTGTGCACAGCTCCTGCTGCTCCAAAGACCTACATGAGCTGACCATAAACTTCTTCTTCCCGCAGTTTTGGGGTGCATCAACCAACCAGCTTTTCATGCTGTATGAAGTAACACGTCCTGTGTGAATAAAGCTTAAAGTAGAACTTCAAGTACCTAATAATAATATATTTTTAACAAATAATAATCTCTCACAAGGTGTATACCACCTCCCAGGATCGCTGCTGTTTCTTTAATATTTACACTTTCATTGATTCCGGATAGTATTGTTCTCGCTATACTTCCAGCCCCGTGGCAGCTATGAGAGCTGTGGCTTTCATGCACAGAAGCTGCAGTGTTGCTTATCTGCCCTCCCCCACCTCTCCCCTTGTCCATTCACAGTGCGCCTTGTATTCTGCGAACCATTCACAACATAGAAGGCCTTCTGTGACTAGACAAAGGGAAAGGAGGGGCAGATAAATGACACTAGCTTTACACAAAAGAAATGGGAAAAGCCTCTCTGCCTGGGGTTCCGCTCCAGGGAAGTATTTTCTGTAATGTTTTGTATTGTCTCTTGTGCCGGATATGTGAAATCTCTATTGTGACTGTGCAGAGGTGATGGTGAAGGTGTACGTGGTGGATCTGAAGGTAGAGGCGGTCGCCCCACCAGTCAGCGTCCGCGCTTATCTAAGCCAGACAATCCAGGAGTTCAAGCAGCTCATCTCCAAGGTCAGGATTGGTGGAGTAGCTTTTCATATTGCAATGTTTTGTGTCGTTATACCTGTCTTTACCTGAACACTAGACTGAGGCTCGGTTCACACCTGGGCGTGTTGTAGCGCGTTCCAACGCTCTGCAAAACGCTCAAACACCGAAATCCCATTATTTCCCATGGTTATGGTTCACACCTTAGAGGCCGTATGAACGCGCTACAAAACGCCCGACGCCCAAAGAAGTACAGGAGCATCTTTGGGACGTATTTGCCGCGCGTATCCATTGGGATACAGCCAAAAACGAATCGCGGCAAAAACGTGCAACAAACACGCATATTCGATACGCCTAGGTGTGAACCCAGCCTGATGATTCTGTGAAAAAATGACCTTTTGTTTGTTACATCGTACTTTTATGTCACTCAAGGGGGTCATAAGCCTGTATGTGTGTTTCTGGGTTGCCGTTCTACTGTGTTGGGGGTTGCTGTAAAGTCTTTATTGCCCATGAAGGGACACAGGACTTCTTAGACTGACGGGTTATTTTGCCACCAGCAGTCTTGAGCATTATAAGAATTCCTGTGTCCCTCAATGGACTCCAAGAAATGGGTTTTTATCATCCCTGAAACTTGTCTCTTTGTATTCAGACCATAGACTTGCCACCGGATCCGATGCGCATTGTTCTGGAACGCTGCTACAATGACCTACGACTGCTCAGCGTGCCCAATAAAACGCTCAAGGCGGAAGGATTCTTCCGAAGCAATAAGGTGAGGTTATTCAGACAGGATCTAACTTCTAGTCAGCTTCTGCTATAACGATAAAGGTCTAAGCAGGGGCGTCCCGAGGCTGGGTGACACCCGGAGCGGTAACCGAAAGTCGGCCCGCCGAGACGTCACTGCGCATGACATCATCTGATACCTGCCGGCGGCCATCTTGGTGATGGACGCCGGCAGAGAGAGGAGGGGACAGTCACCCAGCGGGATAAGGTATGCCGCCGGGTCCCCTCCTCTCTCCTGATACTGTCGGGCGTTCGGTCCATGATCGAGCGCCCGACTTTTCAGAGGGGGGGTGACACCAAAATGACTGAGTCATTTTGGTGTCACCCCTCCAATGGTGTCACCCGGGTGCGGGCCGCACCCCCCTTGTGACGCCACTGGGTCTAAGGTAGGCAATAGTCTGTATGTATGTCAGCCATGTAAGGCAAAGTTAAAAGACATTCAGTACATCCCTGCAATACATGGACATTCCCATTTGCTTTGTCTCTTTACAGCGCTGCAAGAACAGAAATATACCTGTTGATCTGCCAGAAATCCTAACTTCCTGTTTAAGCTGACAACACATGGCTTCTGCTGTATTGCAAGGGAGGAGTTCATCCCTGCTGGGCTACAGATCACCTCCTTTTCTCCATAATGTCAAAGGGAAGAGTTCTGTTCAGCAGGGAGAACTCAGGCAGGGCTGACAACACTGCTTGGGATTCTGATGCAAGCAGAGGCAGCGTTGTCGGCTTACTACAAGAGCTTAGGAGCTCACTGAATTTCTGGCATATCAACAGGTATTCTTCTGTATTTTCAGTGTTTTTAAAGAGACAACATGAAGAAATGTCGATATCTTGGAGAGATGTTTTTAATGTTTTGTTTTTATTTTACCCAGACATACACTTTATGTTTAATGAGGGAAACCCAGCCGGTCCCACTTGTCCCCTCCACTTCCAGTCAGTCAGATCATCCCCTATGGAGATGGGAAGCGCTCAGACTGACCTTCCTTGGCCCAACAGTCATAACTATTACAATCTATGTACTTTGACCTCTTTGTATTATGTCTTAAGACTCGCAAGAGACTGTCATTGTTTCTGTTACATTATGCTTTATATCTGTATTCAGATGATTTTGTATATTCATTGTAGCTGTTCATATTCATATCATTTATAATTGTGGACAGCTATTTAAATTCTGTAAATGGAGTTTAAAAGGAATAAGCGCCTTCCATTTGAGAGTCGCCGGGCAACAATTTATTTATTTGTGGGAATTGGAACTGACAGCAGGCATTGAGAGCCACCAGACGCACAACCACATACCACCCTGCCCAGGTTTTTCTGCATTTCTAAGCCCGGG